TGTTATCACCATTGTATAATGAGGGTACATTATTTGTTTTTTTCCCAAATATTTATTGAACACACGCCTTTTCTGCATTATTACAGCTAATTCTATCATTTCCATTAAATAAGTGGACTAATATCTTCAAGATTTTTTTTGTTTTTTAATATATTTAGAAAACAACTGCTTATCTTTAACTCTGCTCACCGCCAACATCTGGAATTGTAGAACACTATCAGACCTAGTGCCCAATCCCAGTCAGAACACTCTTCTTTCCAATTCTGATCCCACACTGACAGCTCCATTTTGAAATCTATCCATTTTCCATTTCTCAAGCCATTTTATGTGTTCTTTGCTATTACAGCATTCTAATTGTTTAATCAGAACGCAACATTGCTAACCTCAAGAGATCAAAAATCATGAGTCAAACTCTCCTGAAATTATGAGATTCACTCCCCCCCCAAGTAATGAAAATTTGAAAAAGAAGAAAACTATGTTGTGGTTTTGGTTTGTCTTTTGATTTTGGAGCTCCCCCCATCTGCCTCCAGTATGTACATATGAGACAATTAGTCTTGCCCACTCTTTCAAATGAACCGGATAAGGGGTGTTTGCCCCCTGCTGCAGGAGCTGTTACCCCACATCTGTCCATCCCATGCCCAGCAATTAATCCTGTACTTCAAGTCAAGCCTCAAACTCCAACAACCAAAACCCCAATTCAGTGCTACCATCAGTCCATCCACCCTCATATCAGCCCCCTTTCCCTCATCTTAGCCCCCACATAGTTCAGACCCTCCCCCCCTCCTCCACACACACACCCCTGCCCAGCTTTATCCTGCTCTTCCTGGGTTCTTCACTCCTCTTTCCCACACTGGTTGGGGAGGGGCACGTCGGGGGCTCCTCATCCCTCTACTTCTTCCCAGGCCAGATGCTGCAGAGAGAGGATGAGCAGAGGCACTGCCCTGTCTGCATTTCTCACAGGAAGGTGCGAGAGAGGAACTGCTCTAAGATTCCAGGCTCTTCACTCCCTCCTCAGAGAATGGCGGCGAGTGCAGGGAAAGGTTCTGCTGGCTTGTGGGCCAGCGGACTGGGGGTTCTCATGGCATCATGGGCCAGACTCCAGAACTCTCTGAAATCCTGTCACTTGCCAGAGCTGGTGACACAGAGAATGCCTTGTTGGAATAATACTTATGAAAGCCAGCGTAGCTACACAGATACCTGTATCAGCCAATCATGCGATCTCAAAGCATGAATTCAGGGCTGCTCGACTGCTATAGGGGAGGGTAAAATGGGAATGAAGTACGGTGCTTAAACAGCTCCATTCTGAAGAACATACGTACATGTCTGCGGAGAATAAAATAATAAAAGATTGCATCATTTTACCCAGAAGGCTCTTTCACTGTAAAAGACAATCTCACTGGCAGAAATAACAAACTTGTGCCCAGGTTCAAATGAACGAACACAGAATTTGCATAATGTAAATGTAGAGAATTAATAATGAGCCTAATTCTGCATGCGCTGCACCTCATGGAGCCATTCAAACCTGTGCACAATGTGACTGGAAAATGCTACCATCTCAAAAAGCAGAATTTTAGCCTCACTTTGCCCAGATATAAATGACTACAAAATGTGCAAGGGGACAACAGAGATATACATCAGTCCCCATTAAAGCTTTCACAAACAATGCTGCAAGTAATTAAGGTGACTACGCTATTCCCTAGCTATGGCACCGGGGGTACATTATTACTCTTTATTTACAAAAGCAAAATGTAAAAGTTTAAATGGTGACCCTTCAGCGCTGGACAGTTTGTACATAAAACTAGCAGCACAGAGATGTCAAGCTATTATACCAGCTGGTCTCCTTATGCCTGTGCGCTGTTGCCTCTCGCAAGCGTCACTCGCATGGGCGTAGCCAGTCTCATAACAACTTTAAGAGTTTTCTTAAGGTCAATGATAACAGCCTTAAATAAATAAACTGGTTGGTCCTGGCAGCCTCCAGACATCTGTTGAGTAGTTCTCTGTCTGTGACACAGTCTCCCAGAGTCGAAGGTGACCTCTTAATTGGCTTATGGCTGGGTGATCTTTGGATTAATGTTACTAAAAGTAAAATTCATCTGTCTTCCATCCATCACGTTTAAGATAAGCCTGCCAAGTGGTAAGTGTGTGGGGCCACTTGAGTCCAGTCTCAGTTTGTGTTTTTTTACACCAAGGGAACACCTTATTTTACTGCTGTGGAAAAGCTGGTTCTGTTGTGAACTAATCACAGGAAGACCGACTGAGACTGTTATAAATCCACTAGATGGTTTAATGCCTGCCAGCGGGTCACATCAGCCCTGAAAGGAGATGAAAGCGAATTTCCGTTTTCTTTTGTTTGTTTGTTTTTTCTTCATGTCATAAAAAAGGCAAAGTTGGTGACACTGGAAGGGAGGAGCGGGGAGGGGAAGGCCTAGCCATTTCCCACCCCACTGGGAAGGAGGCTGTTCCCCACATACAGTCAAGGAGAATTTCTTTTGCCCACCCCGAGCCTATCAAGCAGCCACATGCTGTGGTAAGAAGCTCCCCCTTCTTCCTGGCTGTAGCTGCCTTTGACATCTCCCAAGCAGCTATCAGATGCTTTGCTTGGACATTCCCACTCTTGGGTAGGTGTCATATGCTTTTGCAGTGCACTGCAGCTGCTTCTGTGTCCCTGCCACCATCAGGCTCTGTACTGCCTCTGGATCCTTGGGAAGGGTAGGCAGAGAGCTTATGTCCCTGCCAGGGCTTTTGTACTGGGAGAATTTCCCTTCAGGCTCTTGTCACTCCCCTGCAGAATAAGGCCCTGGCACCCTCCTTCTCCTCAGGTATGTGTCTGCACACACTGGGAAGGTAGCTTGATTCCGATTGGATACTGGCAGGGGTGTTGTAGCTGCCTTCTCACCATCAGCGTCCCTATGTGCATGTGGGCTAACGTGCAGGTCTGGAACTAACTGGGAGGGGAATGAGGAACAGAGGATTTACCCTCTTCTGCTTTCAAAGCCAGAATACCACCAACGCAAAGATTACAGAGTATCTGACAACAGCCATACAGCCAGCACCCCCACGCTTGCTGGGTGCCGATGGAAATCGGTGCTCTAGGCAGAGAGAAGGTTTTTACACCAGGGACT